ATGTATATGTATATTCATAAATTGAAAATATTAAACTGTTGCTAATTAATCAATTACGTATTTTTGTGAAAATTTTATTGTTCCTCTGATGGATTTTGTTTATTCAACTTATTTCTATGAAAAGTCCATAGTCCACCTATCAACCACAAGAAGACACAAGACAGGCTGAGAAAAGATGTGAAATAAAGCGCACCCACATAACTATTTGTTGAATCATGCACTAAACCTGAAAAAATATTTAATTTTATTAAAAATAGATAAGATATATAATAATAATGAAATAAGATAATAATAATATTGCCCTGTAAAATATTTTAATTATAATTGTATTAACAATTAAAAAAAATTGCAGGTTGCTTTTATTGTATATTTAGAGTTTCTCCTTACCGATAATTGGTCCCATGCTGATAGACAGGATGCCATTACAAACCATCTGAATACCGGATGCAGCCGGCAACCTCTCCAATGGTACGTAATCAGGAATGATTAGAGCTTGGAAGACAGCTTTGGTTCCCTTCGCCAATCCGATGATCAGGGCTACTCCGATTACAATGACGTAAGTATCACCCCACGTCGATAGAACTGTCAAGAAAGTATTATGAGAAATAATTTCATACAGAAGTTTACATAAAACATAGGAAATGTAAAGATCAATAAGAGTGCATATAAATGAATCCAGATAGATATAATATAATATTAATCAAATAATATTAAAATGTATTATAATATAAATGTATTATAATATACTAAAATATAGTATTCAGATATACTTGTATGTTACAATATAATTAACATTGCGAATTCAATTGTGGTTTGATAATTATTATGATTTGTAAATGTTATTGATTGTCATACAATATGCACTTAGCCATCTAATCAACCCACCCCAAAGATCACCTCGTGAAGAGATTCCTCGGATTCGTATATTTTACGTAGCGGTACGTACTAGTCCTTCCTAAGGTCGATCCCAGCAGAGATAGCACATAAAGATTCCTGCAGGTCCAGCCGGTTTTTTGTGCTAACAACGGTATACAAAGGCGCCCCGTAATATCTGCGGCAGCTTGAATCGACATTATTGTAGCTATCGACGTTCTGTCGAGATTCGCCAATTCGGCTAGGACGAAAGGTATCGTTACATTGAAATTCGTTTCGGCCACCAACGAAACGCTCATACCTGTTTTTGAAGCATTACATACATCTCTCAAGATTTTAATTTTACTTCGACAAGACTTGTGAAATTAATTGTTTGTACTGTACCTAATACTATCGCCATATAACGATTATCACGAAGAAGGTCGAGATCCATATTTGTAACAATTTTTTTAAGGAACGAAGTTTGTTTATTTTTTTTCACTTCTGTTTCGCTATTCTTCGGACAATAGTTTGGTTGTCTTTCCTCTTCAGCATTCCGTTTATTTAATAATTGGCATTGAACAGCATTATTTTCCACATTTGTCTTATCAACACATGAATTTTCCTCTTTCGATACATTAGTAATTTTGTCCATCAGAATACTTTGCTAAAAATAAAAAACGAAAAAGAGCCATCCAAATATAATTTTCATTTCGTATATTGTTGATGTGATATCGAAATATGAAAAAAATGAAAAATGAATAAGATAAGTGTAAAATTACGCCATTGCTCACGTACCTTTAACTCACCTCTATCTGCTTTCTAAACGGTTTTAATAACGATGCACCAATCAGAGAATGTGAGGCGATTCCAGCAAGGATCAGGAGAGTGCCGGTCGTGGCAAAATTTTCGAGAAGTACGTCTATTAAAAGGGGCATTAAAATTGGACCCAGACCAGTTAATGTAACTGAAAAACCCATGGCTACATTGCGTTTCTTGCGGAAATATGTGTTCAGAGCTAATGTTGTCGCTGGAAAAAGAATTCCTTGGCCAATTCCTGTTAAACATATGCGTTTTGTAATTAACATTGTTAACTTTTAAAAACAATAATTGTGTAATTAATATATAAGTATTGAAATCTTTTAATTATAAAGCAATTTTAGAGAACAACAATAATTCAATTACATTACTATCTGTTCTGGTAATTAAAATTACTAAAGTGCTAAAAGTTGTAAAATACATTAAGCGTCACTAAATAAATGCTGAACAAAAAATACGTTGCAACAATTATGCTTTAAAAATTCCTTTACTTTGTTTGCGTATATTATTGCATTACTCTGCGCGAGTCCATTTTGCTTCATAGAATACAGTGGCGCTCAATATAAACGATTAAATGACTTGTCATATTGCAGTTCTCATTCACGCCTTGATATTTTATAGTGTGAATTATTTACCAACGATAACGCAATAAGTGATAATAAGAGTCGGGAGAGACACGGCGAAGGCAGCGGCGCAGATTCCGAGAACGACTGTCAGGCTGCCGAAATATGCGACCTGGCGAAAAGCGAATCTCTTCATCATTGGACCGCTTATAAGACCGAGACTGCATGTTATTGTCCCATTAAGATGAAGAATTAGACTCGTTTGCGTCGCAGTGATGCCGAGACTTGCGAAACGTTCTGCGAAGATAAGGCCGAAACATTGCTGGACTGGGAGTACGGCTAGCTAACAAAGGAAATTGCAATTATTCTCGTGAAACTGTATCGTTCAAATTTTGTAATATCGCATCTTCTAGAATATTATCCATTAGGAAATTTTTGGATAAAAAAATTATAATCTTTTGAAAAAATAAAAATATGAATTTTATAAGAATGATAAAATGTCTAAATTTACATTTTTATTTACACAGGACTTTTATGTTTATTATAAAAAATAAAATATTATCAAATTTATCATTAAAAATGTTATAGATACCGACAGAATATATACAATGTGTTTCCTGTAACATAATCATTTAAAATGTCTCCGTTGTTTTTGATGATACGAGAAAATATCACACAGGATCTTATTCGATTTGAAGAGGCACATATTATGATAAGCAAAAAAATTTTCTCATATTTTTTGAGACGTCAAGGTCACCTCCACTTTTTTAAATGGAATTTTATGATTTTTTTACACAATACGGTTTCTTTAATTATTCTGTATATAAAAGTATTCACGCAGTGGTATAAAAAAACCAATTGTTTACGAGATATTTTATACTTTATTCTGGTATATATTGACATAAAATGTCAAATAACGTAAACTATTAATTTTTTGATAATCGTACCTTACTTTTATATGCAGAATAACAAGATGAATCAATTGATAGAAAGTAAACACATAGTTGCTTATTTAAAAAATTATCCTTTTTTACATATTTTTTTTAAAGCAACTATGTGTTTTCTTTCCATCAATTGATTTATCTCATTATTCTGCTCATAAAAGTATTAAAATACAATTATAAAAAAATTAATAGTTTACGAGTTATTTAATATTTTATCAATATATATATATATGGAATAAAATATAAAATATCTCGTAAACTATTAGTTTTTTGATATTACTATCTTAATACATTTATAAGCAGAATAATTAGAGGAATCAGATTTAAAAAAAAAAATACAATTCCATTTAAAAAATTAGAGATGACCTTAAAATCTAAAAAAAAATGATCTTGAAAAAAATTGTTGCTCATCATAATATGTGCTCCTTCGAATTGAACAAGATCCATGATATTTTTTCGAATAATCAAAAATTAATTGATCAAAAGAGAGTTAGAGGAAACACTGTATACATAAATTTTTGACTGATTTTGTTTATAAATGTTTATTTATTATTTGTTAGAAGAAACTTCAAATTTTTTAAACTAATTTTGAGATTAAAATTAAAATTGGAGAATAAAATATAGAATAAAGTTTT